TGAGCATGTCGATTCGAAGAGTAAGACATATCGGATTTTTTCATGTTAAATTTCACACAATAAAAGGCTGGAAAGTCACTCAATATAGAGGGTTATCGAATGTGATAGGAAATGAAGAATATGAGGATAAGAAGTTTATATAACAAGTGACACTTTACTTTAAGAAGTTAAGATCCAGCGAGGCATCCATGTGGTTGTCTGTTCCATGAAGTAGCAGTTTTGGGTGGAAAATCTGTTTGACTGGAGCGTCCTCCTTAGAATTGGAATATGGGGAAAATCAGGCTGATTTGACTCCGTGTAAGTATCCTTGTGTGTTCAAGCTTTAAAGGCCTGAACTGGTGAAATTAAAGACTAGAGCACATCTGAATATTTGCCATGGAAATAGCGATAGAGTAGCAATGGTGATGTAACGTTGCCTCCGTGAGAGAGAAACTGCAGAATGACACAAGACCGCGTAAAGGATTTTGAACTGGAAAGCAAGAGGGTCGGTATAGAGCAGCTTCAGCCCACCTATTTTTGATCGATCTAACTTCTGAAAAGGATGTTACATTTGAGTACAACTTGAGGGTCTATAGGGAACTTGAGACATAATAGAAGTTCACAAACTTCTCTACATATTTCTACATTAATACTAGTGTTCTGCGGGCCACTCTCATTAAATTTACATTGTTTCAAATTTCAAGAAACCACTTCTGTCATCAGTTCTCAACTCTCTATATATGCTGATCTCGAAATGGACCTCCAATTTGTGGTTGACTGGGGCAAAAAATGGCCTGTAAACTTCAATGCCCTCAAAACGAAACGGCTCTCCTTTACGCACCACAGAGATCTCTTCTTGACTCCCATCAGAATGTCTGATTCCCAACTCTTTAATTGCGCCTCGTTACGCCTGCCTAGGTTCACGCTGTCCACTGACATGAGGCGAATTAAATACACTGAATCAATAGCTTCATCTACCGCAAGGAAAGTTGACTTTCTGTGCCGTGTTCATCCTTCAAATCTCTAAATCAACCATCCGTCCTTGCCTGGAATATTTCTGTCATATATGGTCTGGTGCTCCCGCTGTACGTCTCGAGGTCCTCGATAAAATCCAGAGACGAATATGCAAGATTATAGGTCCTGATCTGGCATCTAGTCTACAATCGCTATCCCTCTGTGGCCTCCCTCTGTCTCTTCTAGAAATATTTTCACGGCACCTGATCCGACGAGCTACTTTCGCTGGTTCCCGGACTTCATGAATTTAAACGTGCTACCAGGCTGGCATCTCGGTCCCACCCTTTCACTGTCAAAGCGGTTAAATGTAACTGTCCCTTCTTCTCAAACAGCTTCTTCTCCCGCACTTCCTATCTGTGGAACTCCCTTCCCCTTACTTGCTTCCGCGATGACTATAATCTTAAAATATTCAAGTGCCATGTTAATCGACATCTGACACCCTGAGCTTGTTTCCCGTCCTTCTCTGTATCCTTTCCCCAAACACGACTCTTTACTCTTGTTCTCAACCCCCTGTAACCCCTTGCGTTCTAGTGGCACTCCCGCCTTGCTTGGGAGGAATTGCCTTAAAAAAAAGGCTGATCAGTTCGATAAGATCAAATTGGCAAATTAATTCATAAATGAACAACAATTTGTTGTTAGCTGGGGCAATGAATGACTTATTAATTTTAGTGTCTCCAAAACGAAACAGTTCTCTATTAAACGCCTAAGAAAAGCCTTCTTGCTTTCCAACAGCTAACGCTAACCATCAGGCGAGCCACTAGTTGCGCCTTCTCGGACTAACGTTTTACGCTGACATGAAGTGGAAAGATTATATCAAATCAGTTACTGGATCTGCTGCTAGGAAAGTCATTTCACTGTGTCATGCCAGACAATTTTTCTAGCCTGAATCTATTTTACATGTCTAAAAGTCTACCATTCATCCATGTTTTGAATATTACTGTCCCATATGGCTCCTGCTATATATTTAGAGATCATTAATAAAATCCAAAGAAGAATCTACAATGTTATTGTTCCAGACCTGGCATCTCTTTCCACCATCGTAATGGATCTTCTTTTTGCCTTTATTTATAAATAATTTCATGGTAATTGTTCAGATGAATTTTTCTCCGTGGTATGAATTTAAACACAGTACGACATTAGCAGGAAGGTCTCATCATTTTACAGTTGAAATAGTTAAATACAACCGTAATTTATATGCTGGCTGCTTCTTTTCTGTCACATCTTGATTGTGGAACTCTCTTCCAGTTTCTTGCTTTCCAGTCAAATTTGATCTTCAAAAATTTAAATGCAATGCCAACCGTTATCGTGTTTCTTCTGAATTCCTGTTCTTTTATTGTTCTCTCCTTAAGGTTTTCTTTTTTTTTCTCATATTCTCACACATGCAGTAACCCCTTGCATCACAGTGGATTTATTATCTTGCTTGGGGTGAAAGGATTAAAAAAAAAACATGAAACTTACCCAACTCATAAAGAAAAGATTTTTTAGACCGTTACGCATTTGCTGGATTAGGACATGACGCAGCATAACCATATCGGGCGACCTTGATTTCAAAGCTAATTTTTCCTTTTTCTGATATTCTTTAACGCTCAGTACCCCCTCGTCTTAGTGGTTTTGCTGCCTTGCTTGTGGTGAAATGATTTTTTTATCATGGCGTTTCATTGCAATCGTTCATCCTGATGTAGAAATACAGCTGATTATTAGTTTCTGCTTCAGTTATTAGTTTTGTTTTTGTGGGTTACGAGATTTTGCCAACTGAGCTGTTAGATATTGGAGATCAGATGCCAAGCTTCGATCGTCTACTTTTGAGTAAAATGCTTCTATATAATGTGCTATCATCTATATTTACGTTTACTAATGATCTAAGCAGTTCGCTAATGAAAAGCAGAAAGTGGGTAGCGCTAAAACTTACTTATAAAACAGCAAACAAGTTACTTTTGTCGATATCATTAAACCCTATTAGTAATGATCTAAAACTCAGTGCCTATAGAAAATCCGCTAATAGCAATGATCTCATAAACTTCTATTCGCACCATAACAACAAAACAAACGTGCCAGTAATATTTACTATGTTTTTTTGTTTGTTTGTTTTTGTTTTTTGTTGTTTTTTTCTGAATTTCTGCCTGAATATTTCGTTGGTTCGTGCATTTGGTGGCATTATAATTGTGAGTTCAATCACTGGACCGGGAAGTAGAAATTTAGACTCTATGGAAAAGGGGCTAGCAATAACTGAGCTGCATTAGGAAATAAAGAATATCAGAAAATACAGAAATACAAACAATAAAACTGAGGCAAAATAAAAAGGCTGCAGTGGCAAAAGGAAGGGAATAAAAATAGGAAAAACAGCAGTGAAGAAAGTCAAGCTTGACAGCAAGGCTAAAGCAAAGCTGAAGATGACAGAACATTAAATTGAATGCTACAAATATGCGTCTCTAGATTGGGACAATGGTGTAAAGCAATGGTTTTCAACTTCTTTTTTAATTTCACGGCATACTCGAATAAAGAATTTCGGCAAAGCACTTATATTATGATGTCTTTAAAAATAAACAGAAAAGATTATACTTTTTATAATTTAAAATTTATTAATAATTTTAACATTTTTAAAAATATCTTGTTACCCATCTTACGTCTCTATTATTTGTTATCATTTTAAATTAACTTTTCTTTCTTTAACGTTAATGTCTATTTCGTATGTGTTGTAGCATGCCTACAGAAGATACTGGGTCCCCATTCCCATAAATACACTAGTGAATACTGTACGTTTTCTAGAATTAGAGATTCGTCTCCAGCTGTGCTGGTCAAACTCTCTGCCTCAGTGAAGAGAGGATCCCCAGACGAGGCTATGACGAAAAGCAGAGTCTCGTTCTCGGGTAATAGCTACCCGACCCCATTTTATACGGGGTCTACGGGGAATTTTTGTCCGAGCCCGTATGCTCGGTTACCCCACATTAAATTCGGCCGTGTGCCACATCTAACCGCGTGAGGCGGTTGGTAAATATCCTAGAATTAGAAATTCGTCTCCAGCTGTGCTAGTCATACTCTCTATCTCCAGGAAGAGAGGATCCCCAGACGAGGCTATGTCGAAGGGCAGAGTCTCGTCTCGGGAAACAGCTACCTGACCCCGTTTTATATGGGGTCTACGGTGAATTTTTGACTGAGCCTACGGGCTCGGATACCCCATTTTAAATTCAGACTTGTTCCACATATGACCGCGCGGGACAGATGGTAGATATCCTAGAGTTAGAGATTCACTGTGGAATTCATTTGACCCACTTCTTGCAGTTGACCCCTCTTTCTACGCACCGCTGGCGAATCTTATACGTATTGTTCTTGTTCTAAGTATTATCTTTCATTACCAACCTACGTGTGATTATTCTATTCAATAACCTTCCCTAGATTACAACCGTAGGCTTTCTTTCTTTCACTTGCTGTCTTTTGGGGATAAATGAAATAAAACACAGAATAGGCCGCGCTAGGGTTAGTTTCGAGCAACACTGCAAGTTGCTGCAAAACCTGAAAACTCAAGTTGTATTTTTAAATACACTCATCAAATCAAGAATTCAATATGGATGTCATGCACAGCGCCAAACTCATTTAGAAATATCTAAACTCTCAACTGTATACAACTGCTTTCTCGTATAAAAAATTACTTCGAACGAAGGAAGCTTTAGCGAGGACCGCCCTTCTGTGAACTGCGTGCGGATGCAGAAGCAGAAAGAACTGTTCCATATAACAGAAACTACATGACTGTCAACAGCAGTAACAACTAAAATGGATAGCATATGTGACATGCAAAGAAAATAATGACATAATCAAGATGTGGACGTTGGTCACTACTCCGTACAAAAAGTTAGGAAGGAGCTCAATCTTATGAGTAATAGCAAGAGCTATAACAGCTACTTTAGAAAGTTATTTTCTTGAAAAATTATTTCAATAGAAAGATTTTATAAATCTCAACTGACAGTAGCACTGGCTTCTCGAGCAATGATTTCTGAATGTTTCCTTATAAGGAAACGGTTAATATTACCATTATCATACTCTCTTTGGTTTTTAAATCCTCTCTTTCTTTCTCTCTCTCTCATTTCCTCTCTCTTCTCCTCTCTCTTTAACTTTCTCTCTTTCACTGCTTCTTTTCTCTTTATTTTCTCTCTATCTCTCCCTTTCTCTCTTCCTTTTCCTTCTCTCTCTTTAACTCACTCTTTCTTTCTCTCTCATTTCTCTCTCCCTTTCTCTCTTTCTTTTCCTTCTCTCTCTTTAACCCACTCTCTCTCTCTCTCTTTCTCTCTCATATCTCTCTCCCAATCTCTCTTTCTTTTCCTTCTCTCTCTTTAACTCTCTCTCTCTCTTTCTCTCTCATTTCTCTCTCCCTTTCTCTCTTTCTTTTCCTTCTCTCTCTTTAACTCTCACTCTCTCTTTCTCTCTCATTTCTCTCTCTCCCTTTCTCTCTTTCTTTTCCTTCTCTCTCTTTAACTCTCACTCCCCTTCTCTCTCTTTCTCTTTTCTCTCTCTCACCTTTTCACTTTTTATGCCTTTTTTTTCTTCATTTTCTCCTCCTCCTTGCCATTTTTCTTTCTGTATCTTAATCCGTCCCTTCTGAACCATTTGGTTACATCCTTCACGCCAGGAACCACCTGATTCTTGTAATGGATGGAAGATTTTCCGTCCGAGGGCGAGGTGAAATGGAATGGGGCTAGTTGGGGTTAGCATGTCAAACTACGACGCAATTCTCCTGGCTCTCTAAGCAGATACCCCCACACGATCACATAAGTTCACACTGATCACTCTCTCTCTCTCTCTCTCTCTCTCTCTCTCTCATATACATATATATATATATATATATATATATATATATATATATATATATATATATATATAAACGCATATATCATGTTGTTATCATAGTCTTAGCTATATTTAGACAATTCAGATAATGATTGGTCCCTCCTTTAAAACAAATTCTCCCTAGACCCTTTGCTTCTATTACCCACCTCTATCAAATATCAACTTCCTCAAATGACACTTAATCTCAGGCGATATTTCTATTTTTAAATTTGTTTATTTATTTAATGCAATTTTGGTTGTTGTTTTTTTTTCAATTTTTTCGTATTTTTTTTCTTCTTTTTTTTTTTAATGCTTTCTGCTTTACTTTTTCTTCCTTCCTTTTTTATCATCACTATCACCATCAGCATTATCATCGGCCTCTCTCTTACTTTTTTGAATATCTTCTCTCTTCTTCTTACTCTCCTTCTCTCTCTCTCTCTCTCTCTCTCTCTCTCTCTCTCCCTCCTTCTCTCTCTCCCTCTCTCTCTCTCTCTCTCTATTATTTATCATCGTTTTAATTGAACTTCTCTTTCTCTGTCTTTAACGTTGATTTCTATTTCACATGCTTTCTTTCTTTCTTCCTTTCTTTCTTTCTTTCTTTCACTCTCAATTTTATTTTCATAAATCTGACCATTCGTCTTTTCTTTTTTTCTTTATTTTTCGTTCGCCATTTTTTTCTTCTAATTAAGTGACAACAAGTCTCCCTCTAGTCTTAAGGCTTTTTTCCCTAATACTGTCGTCTTCGATACTCCCGAGTCTTCTCCAGTTTTCCAATCTGTGTCTTAAGCCGTTTGGAATACTTCCTACTGGTGTTTGATTTGGTTTGATTTACGGCATATCAACCTCAATGGATTATTTAATGCCGACAAAATTCTTATTGCTTGTAATAATTACCATTTATGAATCCAGATCAATGGCATTGAGTAATAACACTTGAAACTAAAAAAAAAATCGATGGTAATAATTTTTCCTTCCAAAATTCATTGCTAGGAATAAATGTTTACAAAAAATGTATTGCTGGTATTAAAACCTATTTTTACATCTTCGTAGTGTTTTAACCCCAGTTTGGTGGGGGGGGGGTAACCATTTGCCCATTAAGAAGTGGTTCCACACTCCTGAAAACATCCTGATCAGTGTCCTTGCTGTTGGATGTTGTTTATCGTCCTACCCAGGATGCCAAGTGGTGTAAATACACTGTTGCAACTGTGGCTACTATTAACTATCAAACTAGAAATCAGAACGTCCTGGGTATGATGATAAACTACATCAGGCAGTAAGGCCTCTGATCGGAAGGTTGGAGGTTTTCAGGAGCGTGGAACCACCTCTTAACTGCTGTTGTTCCCATGTTCACCCTGACCCAGGGTGATAGTAACTATAACGGTCCCAGCTATGGGCAAATAGGGAACTCCAAAACAAAAATCAACAGGACATTTTTATGATAAAATGAGCAACAATACATTTTTATAGCAAAATGACAATCAATGCAACATTAAAAATATATACAAATACATTTTTATAGTAAAATTATCAACAACATATTTTATGGTCTACACACTATATATCTAAAAAAATACCTTTACCCTGAAAGTATAAAATTATATACAACATATTTATATTTCGGCCTTAAATAACCCATTGAGGTGTTTATATGCCGCTAAAGGAAATCAACCAACCAATCAATCAACCGAGCCAATCAAGTCGTCGCCATTTGAAGCAAAGCTCTAATCTATATGTTTTCAGCTAACTTAGTTTTCATTTATTGTCCAGTATGAATGATCTTTAAGCATGACATCATTGTGGTCCGATGCCTCAAATCAGGTCTGTCAGATTCTCTCACTTACCACAGCCCGTTTCCGATGTTTTCAGATTGCTATTCCTTGTAAAAGAGCAACTCTTGATTTGGTCCCATACGGTTTTGTATTCACAATTGCACTTCTCCTAGACCGGTTGACAATCACGGCTAGAGAGCGCCGATTTTCTTGTTAATTAACCCATAAAAGAGGAGACCCAAGACCATAGCGACGTCTAATTGGTCTTCGTTCGATGGCGTTGTTTCAAAGGATTGGCGGGATGACGTCTCGATTAAGGGACGAGCCTCGCGAAACGGAGTGGCTCTTGCAGCGTATCTTACTGGTGATGGTGCCAGGTAATACTTTCTCCATCACTGCGGCTGGGAGATGTTAGTAACAAAAATTAAATATTTGCTTCTGTACATTTTCCTGAAAAATTGTTTTAAGAAAAAGATTTTATAAATTTCAACCAAGATCAAGGGTAACCGATCGATCTCTCATTACTCAATGGTTCCTGTATTATTTACCTATCAGTTTACTCAAGCTCATTAGATAGGTTATGTGTTGTTTACTTTGTCCCTCATGACTTCTATATGTCAAGTGAGTATCAGATTTTCCAAGCCCTCTTTCCTCATTATGTGCCTCATTATTTCAGATATAATCAACAAATATTTACCTATCTCCGAACCGAATAAATTCTTATACAATATAAACGGCAAATAATTACCTCTCCGCGAAATATATACATTTTTATAGATTGAAATATAAACAAGCAATATTTTTCTATTCCTGAATCAAGTAAACGCTTTGAGACTCAGATATAAACGACAAATATTTACCTATCCCCGAACCGAATAAATTCTTATACAATCAAGTATAGGCTAACAATATTTACTTGTCTTCCAAACAAATAAATGCTTATATTGTCAAATATAAACGCCTATTTTCGGACCGAATAAATTCTTATAGACTAACATATAAAAGGCCAATATTTACCTAACCCGAACTAAACAAATGCTTATAGACTAAGGTATAATTTAAAAAGACTAATGTCAACTAAAAAGTAAACTACAAAAAAAAAAAGTTTGACATTATAAATCAGCCAGACCGGGACATGCCAACGTTGGTTAGCAAGCCTTATCTCGCTCGATCAATTACGACTGGAAAGTAAGTTCTATCCTCGCTTGGTGCCTCTAAAATTTCGACCTTGTGCCACATCTGAGCTATGTTTAGAACAATCACTATAAATCATCCAATTCGATAGTAACGCGCGTTTATCGATTCCGGGCACAATTCTTGTCGACACCAACATAACAGCTGATTTCAGTTCTTTGTGAACAGCTTGAAACCCCCTTTTCAAATTTAATTGGCACTTAAGCGATAATATATCGAACTGAGACCCCCCACACACACACACTTTTTTTACAATTCCTCAAACATACATCTTTCGGTTATAACCATTATATGAAGAATAACTGTGAAAACGATAAACGCCTTTAAAATATGTTTATCCTCGCCTCTGACCGCCGTTGGAGTAACTTAGTACTATTTTTTAGCGATTTTGGACATTGAAAAGCTATCAGGGAATGCCGGTTTTTAAGCTCATGTCTTCTGCATTGCAATGTATCTAGTCTCTATTTAACTTCCTTCAGACTCATGGCACGGTGTAGTAATGGATAGCGGCTCGGAATGAGGAATCGGAGAGCCGAGTTCGAATTCCAGTCAGAATCTATTACATTCACTTACGAAAAGTATGTTTCCTCTTTTTCTCCCTCCAGATATGGGTAAATAGCAGGACAGACCAGGTTCTCTTACCTTTGATGGCAACTTGTCTATCGAAGAAAGAAATGACAACCTACTGCGAGAAAAAAATCTGGCTCGTCAGTCATGTATCGAAAGATACATAATTGCCCATGCGTGTATTACGCATGTCACATAACTGACTGAATTAATGCTTATCTGAAAAATGGCATACAAGCTGTTGTTAAATGGGGCAAGAAATGACTTGTTAATTTTAACGCCTCTAAAACGAAAAAGTGTCTCATTTCGCCTTCTCGGGCTGTTGTTCTCCGCTGACATGAAGTCGAAAGACTGTATTGAACTAGCAGTTGCTAGGTCTGTTGATAGGAACGTTGATTCACTGTGTCGTACTAGACAAGTCTTCTCGCCAGAACTTATCATATGAATTTATATGTTTATCATTCGTCCATGTTTTTAATATTTCTGTCACATCTGTTCTGGAGTATTTGTTATGTATCTAGAAATTCTTAGAAAAATACCAAGAAGAATATCGCTCTTCACCTGGCGTCTCGGCTTCAGTCACTTTTCCATCTTCGTAACGCAGCTTTTTCTGTGCCGTTTCTATAAATAGTTTCATGTTCATTGCTTTAGCGAGCTTTGCTTTTTGGCACCTCGACTTTGCGAATTTTGTGTGTAGCCCTGGCGAAGTATATACTATGCATCTAAGGAAAAAGAACGTTCGCATTGACTCAGTGATCCTGACTATGGTCGACTACACGATTGACAGCTAGGTCTCATCATTTTACAGTTGAAATTGCTAGATGTAACCGTAAGTTTGATGCTAACAGTTGATTTTCTCGCACTTCCCCATCACGGAACTCATTTCATTGCTTTTCCAATTTTGATCTTCAAAAATTTAAATGCAGTGCCAATTGTTATCTTTTACTTTTATTTTTCTTTCTACTAATCAGAATAGAGAAATAATATAGAGAATAGAGGTCCGGATAGTAATAGAGGATAGACTAGAAATAGTGATCATTAGTCGTTAGCTATTTCCTACATATATGCGTTTCCTCTATGGTCTACTTAATTCAATAATGGAATCGCCTGTGTTTGCTCACTGGCGATCTATGTTCAGACTCAAGTGTCGGCAGCAACACTTTATTCCTATATAACATACCTCTTCCCTGCATTTGGACCAATTTTTCTGTGTTCCTTCCGAGTTCTTCAACTGAATTTGCCAACTATTTCACCATCCCCCTTTTGGACGACATTGGCATCCAGGTCTCTCATGACAATTTGTACTGAGTCCTCGCATTGTCTGGCATATATTAAAGCTTTTCAACTTCATCTTGTCGGACTTTGCGCTGTCAAGAATTGGTTTGATTTGGTTTGTTTTGTTTTACGGCTTATCAACTTCAATGGGTTATTTAATGCCGACAAGATTTTTATTTCTGGTAATATTTTTTCTTCAAAAATGTATTACTGGTAATATTTTTACCTCGAAAAATTTATTACTGGTATTAAAATCTATTTTTATACTTTCATAGAGTTTTGACTCCAGTTTTGGGGTTAATTATTTGCCCATGGTTGGTACCCTATCAGGTGCTACCACTCAGGGGCAAGGTAGACCTAGGAATACCAGCAATTAAGAGGTGGTTCCACTCTCGTCAAACCTCCTGATCAGAGGCCTTGCTGTCGGATGTAGTTTATCGTCTTACCCAGGACGCGGATGTAGGTTATTGTCATAGCCAGGATGCGCCTTGCTTGGGGGTGAAATGATTAAAAAAGGCCGAGTATACAGCGATGGCATCGTCTTCAGAGTGGTGCGATCTCACCAAAATGGTCCATCATCTGGCGGATTGCATGCACATATAAGCATAAGCCGACTCATGTGCGTGTATACAGTATGCGATGGGTATATTTCATATTTTTAATTGATTGCATGCGCATTGTTTTTGATTTCGTCGACTACACAGTATAATAGGGTCAGTTGGACACACCATCTATGAGAAAAAGAGCATCATGACGTAATTCAATGCGCCGGAAATTTGGGAACAGCATTTTGTACTGCTTGGCATTCGCACCGGAATCTCCAATATGCACATTTCTGGGTGTTTGTGCGTCAATCTGAGGACAGTGCAGAGGATTCGGAAACAACTGGGTGATATATTCAGTCAATATTATGGTATTCATCTTCCCACAGGACCTCAGACTCGGAGCCCTACATCAAGTGTTCTGAGGAGCTAGTGCAGCCCCGGGTCAAGAGGCTGGCTGCTGGAAGACTCTATGCCTGGCAATAGGATTCTGCACCATGCCACACAAGCAGGAGAGCCCAGTCATGGCTTTCAGACAATTTCTGCAACCACATCACCTCTTACATCTGGGTACCTAACTCCCCAGACTTAACCCCCTTGATTATTATGTGTGGGGTGCAATTGAGTGAGAGACCAACAAAACATCTTGTAACACCAACGATGAACTGAAGGCAAGGATTATGGCAGCATTCACCAAATGAAACAAAGAGATCGCCCAGAAGAGTTGAAGGAGATTCCAAAGTTGCCTGGAGGCCGTAGTTGAAGTTAATGGCGATTTTATTGAATAACTTTACTCTTTCGAATTTCAAGATATTTTTGTGTAATTTTGGTCAATATATCTGTTAAAATTAGATGTCAGTGACATTTTCATTTTTGCGTAATATAGACGACAATTTATCGCACCCTCTTGACTAAGGCATAAAGCCGACGTGTAAAACCTCAAGCATAATTAGAGACAAAGTTTGTATATCAATTCAAGCATAAACAAGATAAATGTTTGAGGGGTTGCTCAGGCATAAACGAAGCTCATTTTTCAGCATATACTCTGACATAAACACCCGACTAATGAACTCAGGAAGGAACCCAGATTATGCTTGCATCTAGATTCAAGAATATTTGCGTATAGACTCACTAATCAATGTTTGGATTTAGACCCGAACATAACCCCGATCAATAGTTCCTCCTAAACTGAAGCATAAAACTGACAAGTTTGTGGAAAGATTCAAACATAAACCCGATCAGTGTTTGAATATAGTCTCAAGCATACACCCGATCAGTGTTTGAATATTCGGTTCGGTTCGACATTGGTTCGTCTCGAGAGACGATAGAGTAGCGCTCAGTGCACTACGAGACTGGGTGGGATGTATGGAAAACGAGGACTGCCCGGACGTCTAGTTTCCCCTCTCGGCCTTGCTAGCAGAGGCCAAAGGAGAGGATAAACCAATACAGTTTAGTACCAGCGCGGCTGCAGGAGTTGCCGGAAGGTAACACAGAGTGTCATCCATCTGCCTTAGGGGCTCCACTCCGGATTTGTGTAGGGTTTATTCCTTGGTCTTTCCTTCTCCCGAAGATTTCCACAAGGCAGTGGAGCTATTTAACCCATAGCTGGGGTTTGGTTCATGGGCACCAGGGCATATCCACACACCGGTGGGCCTACATGCCACATGTTAAGTGAGCTAACGCCTCCCCCGTATTGAAAATAGACTAAAGCATAAACCCGATGGTTGAATATCGATTTAAGCATAAATCAAACCAATGTTTCAATATAGATTCTTGTGTAAACCTGACTTATGTTTGAATATAGACTCAAACATACACCCCACTAATTGTCTGTGTACTACCTCAAGCATAAACCTGGCAAATGTTTGCATCTAAACTCAAACGTATATCGCGCTTGTTTGCGTATGAACTCTAGCATGAAGCCATCAAATGATTGCACACACACTCAGCCATAGATTCGACCAGTTTTGTGTAAACTCACGGGTTAACCCGACCAGTGTTTACATATAGAAAGATCCATATAAACCTATAACACAACAGCCCACTGAACCAATCGATTCATGTATAAATGATACTAATGTTTGCATTGACTCAGCCATAGAACCGACCATTGTTTGTGTTGACTCAAGTATAAACTCAACCACGTATATTAAATGATGCCATGAACCAATCTGCAGTAGGCCATTATTATTATTATTATTATTATTATTGAGTGTTCACGCCATCATTAAACAGTGGCAAGCGTAATGCTTGCGGTTCTCCTTCGATTACCGAAGTAAAGCAACATCGAGCCTGGTCAGTACCTAGATGGGTGACCGCTTGGAAATCTCAGGTGCTGTAAGCTTGGCAATGTCAGGTGATGTGCGGGTGGTGTAATGGATGACGGTTCAAAATTGGAAATCAGAAGGCTGAGTTTCAATTCCAGTTGGGTTCATTATATTCACCAACGTGGAAGTACTCTTGGGAAAGGTAGGAATCGACCTCTTCTCCTCCAGCTATGGGTTAATTTGTAAGATTCGTATCAGCAAATCATTAATTATCTCCAAATAAAATTCTTACAATCTAAAAATCTTTCCTGCCTTTAAATAACCTGCAAAAGGTTGATAGCCTATACAAAAAAAGCAAGTCAATAAATTTATATAAATATTTTATGTAACATTACTTTCTGGCAATTTCTTTAAATAGACTTTATTATCTGAAATTATGTCAATGTTTCCAAAAATAAAAAAAGAAATATGACAACTCACACCCTACAACTTTTATCAATAAAATCATTATTATCTCCAGAAATTTCCTACAATCTAAAAATATTTTCTGACTTTAAATAACCTGGAAAAAGGTTGTTAAGTCGTAAAAATCAATCAATCACTAGAGCTTAAGTAAGAACATGTCTCCTCAGTACTCCAGCACCCTCCTCAGTATCTAACAGTTTTCGTGGTGTAGATAGTTCTAACATTTCCTCTAATTTCCGTTTCCTCCAGACTTTTCCTAGGATCTCCCCGACCGTTCCCAGTGCTCCGAAAATGACTGGCACGTCGGTGTAATTATTATTTTACTTTTTATTCCTTCTTTTATGTTTTATTTTTCTCTTTTTCTGTCGCTTTTGGGGTTTTAACTCCTCATTCATCTTTTCTTTCTTTCTTTTTCTTTTTCTTTCTTATTTCTCGACCTTTTCCTTTATTGTTCTTTCTTTCATTCTTTCTTTCTTTCTTTCTTTCTTTCTTTCTTTCCCCACCCTTACCTTTTATTGTTCTTTCTTTTATGTTGACCTTTCTCTTTATTATTCTTTTGTATTTCTTTCTTTTTCGACGTTTCCCTTTATTGTTATCTCTTTCTTTTTCTTTGTTTCTTTGTTTCTTTCTTTTTCTTTGTTTCTTTCCTTCTTTCTTTCTTTCTTTCTTTCTTTCTTTTTCTTTCTTTTTTTCTCGACCTTGTCCTTTAGTTTTTCTTTCTTTCTTTCTTTCTTTCTTTCTTTTCCAGCTTCATTCCCTGACATTTCCATTCTCCTACTTGTCGTTCATTCTCTACTTTTCTTAATTATTTTTTTTTCTTTCTTTGACGTAATTTCGATTTTGAAGAGTAAAAGAATTCCAAAGAAAGTCTTTGGAAACCGTTTTTCCTTTGCTGTTCTTCTGTCTTTTTGATTGCACCACAAAGAAAGAGAAGAAATAAAAAAAAAAACATTTAAAGTTAAGTACAGCAAGGACACAGATATTAATAAAAAAAAAAACCTTCGTTTCTCTCCAGCCCTCCGCTTTTACCTCAACTTTCGCCCCCGAATGAGATGACAGCCTCTAGGAAGCAACGAGGAATGGGGGACGCCTAGAGAGAGAGAGAAAAAAAACCTTTCAAGATATTTGGAGAATTTTATCTCAGATGTGAGCGAAACTGATCAGCCTTCCAAATAAGATCTGCTTGTGCGTCCGTATGTGTAAAGGGAAACATGGCCAAGCCGTAGAATTTTGAATGTGAGGGCGTTGTAAATGGCTTGCGGTGTTAAATCAGTTACGGCTTCCTGCGGTGGTGTTGCTATAGAAAAAGCGCGAAAAAATTCGAAGAATACTGACCTAGAGTTCTGGCTGATATTTGATAACATGCAGATATCGTAGACTGACCGCTCAAAACTGGGTACATCGACGCCAAACAATTATTTACGTTATTGACAGTCGGACTAATGATCTCAGCTTTGTTCTTAGTATCACAATGGTCATTATTTATTTGTTTTTCTTTGATCATATCACCCTCTGCAAGGCAATAATGCCACTAAGACACAAGGGGTTAGTAGGTGTAAAAGAATAAGAGAAAAGAAAAAACATTACTGAGGAGCGAGAACAACAGAAGAAGAATCAAGAAGACAGTATAGAACGATTGCATTTAAATTTTTGAAGATCAAAGTTGGCTGGAAAGCATGCAGCCGGAAGAATATTCCATAGGCGAAAAGTGTGAGAAAAGAAACTGTTAGCATAGAACTTACGGTTTTACCTAGCAAATTGAACTGTAAATTTATGAGACTTTGTTGCTAATCTAGTACTACACTTAAATTCATAAATTCTAGGCACCATTATGAAGTACTCATCCGAACAATTACTATGAAATTATTTATAGAAAAGGCAGAGGGAAGCAACTTGATGCCGGTGGGAAAGTGACTGATGACGATACGCCATGACTAATAATATTGATTATTATTCATTGGATCCAACTGTTCTGCTCTCTGGTATTCTTTAGTTGTCTGTCGATTCCGGTAACCTTAAAGGAATTACGAACAGATCCCTTTATTTAATCTACACGGGCAGATTGTTCTCTTTTCACTGCCAATGTCTAGGATTATCTCCCCTTGTTTTTATTTAGTCTCTACTTACTAGTATACTTAATGCCACACCACGTTGAAACACGTTCTCGAATGATCACCGAAGTTAAGCAACGTTGAGCCTGCTCAGTACCTAGATTGGTAACATACCAAGGGTTGGAAACTTGGGTATGCGGATAGTTGAATGGATAATCGTTATATCCATTATGCGAAAATATCCGTGGGAAAGATATGAATCCAACTCTTCTCTCCCAACTGTGGGTTAATTAGTAAGCCTTGTAACATCGGATTCGATCGATGAGAAGTGTCACTCGAACAGCTTCTTCCCACAGATCACTATTGTATGGACTCCCAAGAGGATGTTTCCCCGATCACGAGAATCTCAACCTGTTCAAGGCTAGTTCTTGTTTCCATTTTCTCCAAAACCTAGTCATTGCTCACATGTTCGGTCCATGGTATCCTCAACATCTTTCTGTAAAATCACATTTCCGTTGCTTCAAGTCTCTTATTCATCTTTACAGAGATTGTTCAACATTCACTGCTATACAGTAGGGCAGATATCACGTAACAGTTCAGTATTATTTTCTTAGTTTCTAATACTGTGCTTATCTTTTGGAAGGCATCTTTGGCTATTCCAAAACGTGTTCGGATTTCACTGCCGCAGTTTCTGTCATCTGTTTTTGTGTTTGGTTGCATAGCCTCGTCCGGGTTCCTCTCCGCCCGAAGGCAGAGAGTTCGACACAGCAAGAGCTTCCCACGCTGACAGCTCAGGCTGCTAGCGTAGACAGTATATTGCCTCCAATTACAATAGTTTCCAACGTATTTATGAGGATTGAGACATAGCCATTAGTGTTCATAAGTACGATATATAACAGAGATAATAATTATTTTAGTGATACAAGACTTACTACTATCATAGCTGGGGGAGAAGAGATGAATTCATATCTTTGCCAAGAGTATTTGCGCGTAAGGGAATGGAACGAACCCAAATAAATTTCTCAGCCATTATCAATTATGTAAAATAACGACAATAATACTAATAATTCTCTGTTACATTACCAACGATATACAAATATAAAATATATATCTGGCCTCTGGCCATTCAGTTGTTCATATAACACTGGACGAGGTAACTTATGATAGCTTATGAAAGTCCCCGCTTAGCTAATGAGACTTTCCATTTCTACTCTACATGCGTCTTCCCTCCTCTGACGACAGGACGGATTGACGTGGTCAGTTCAAAGTTTTCTCCAGAATGTAAACGCTTGTCATCGCATTTGTGTGGATAGAGTTCGAGGTTCTTGCGGGTTTCGACGTGGGCGTTGACTTGGGGCTGGTGTCGCCCTATATTGGTGTTCTCCAATATTATTTTGTATTGGGCCCACTGAATCCGAAGTGTCGTCAATTTCCGTTTCTTCTGGTTTATTATGCGCGGTATTTGGTTTATACTGTACGTTGGGTGATAATCCGTGTCGATCGCCATAGAGAATTCATCGGGTCGCTGCGTTCGGACCCCAAGACATGCGGGGGTATTATACGGTTCTGGCCTCGATGTGGTTAATCTATTTTCCGTGTTGCTATCTTGAACCGGCTGTAAATCGGAGTGTCCTGAGGTCGAGGGTCCCGGCACCCTGAGTAGAATGTGGGACATCAATAACCGAGTGGATCTTACGGAAGGAAGCAAAGGGTTGCGTAGAGTTACCAGATTGCTTCTATCCCCACCCCTACCGAGTATCTCTACGATTCTCCCCGTTTTTGGTCCACCGACGAAGCTAAGGGCCATCTTCATTCTGGATCTAAATAGAATCGCCAATTTGTCATTAGCGAATTGTGCGACAATGTTCATTGTAAAAGTGTTCGTTTCGCATGTACCTTTTAGCCATTGCTGCCTCAGTTCACCAATTTCTCTGCACTGTTTATGTATCTGGTATTTGTCCCGTAGGACAGGGAGGTGATCTTTGATAACACCGACCCCCTCCCCCCACCTATAACATCATGACAGAAGACATGCCAAGATTCTGGACGGAAATGTTGCGTTCGGTCAGCAAAGCACAGACTGCACGATCATGACACAATCGACCACAGCTGACCGTGTTGTCTACGACTATACGCTGAGCCATTTTCACGGCCAGTTCTGCCCGGATATTGCTTTGTGGGTAGTAAGACAACGAAGTACATTTTCGTTTTCCCCAATTCTTAAGGAATTAAGGTTATCCCCTGTAGGAAGAAAGTTCTTCAGGTACACCATATGTGCAGAACAAAGTTCTCAGGGTGTTGAATACTGCCCTGGTCTTCTCAGATGATATTGGGACCACTTCCACACAACCAGTGTACTGATCTGCGTATAAATCATAATTTCTACCGCGTAAGTGAAAATGTCAATCACGGTTTGTTGGAATGCGAATTCAGGGTTAGACGAGGTCATCAAAGATGTAAGGGATATAGATTTATATATCTGGCCCTGGTCTATTGGACGATGGCATTCAAACCATGCCAAAACACTAGTTGTCATGCATTTGATCGCATGCCATTTAC